GGGTTTTAAAATCCTCAATATAGCACTATTCTTCTCTCTTCTCTCTCTCTCTTATACGTCAGGGAGGGTAATTCGAATTCGATTTCTTGGGAATCTCTTCTTATTGAAACATGTATCGCAGAAGACCGCGTAGGAATATTAAGGTTGGGACGCATTTTTCTGAAAGTGAATGTGCTAATCAGAAAGCGAGCATAAAAGATTGCATGCAGTTTTTTGGCCATGGTATCGATCAAGTCTAAGTCGACCCTAGTAGCATTTCGCACCGGAATCCGGTGCGACAAGTCACGCATTTTAGGCCGGATTTATGCGCGATTTTGTCACCTTAGTAGCACCAATTTCCGGTGCAGAAAATCACGCGCGACTTTTCTCAGAGGATTCCACGACTGATTCCGGTGGGAATTTCTATTAGGTTTACGACAACCAATGAGAACGCACTCAGGCAAAACAACATTAGCCAATTGAAGGTCACAAAAGCTATTTAGCGAGAAATCGTTCAACCGCGCTGCCAAATCCGCTGAAGTCGCCGCAAGTCGTAGCATATTTGCTACTAGCGGAGGGGAGACGTCATCAGTTAAGACCTTCATGATACGGCTTTTATTTCATTTTGATCCGCTTTGCATCTTCGTATATCCCAGAACATTAAGAGTTTTCTTTCAGAAGTCGGAACAGACAGCTCCTGTTAAATCAGCTAGCAAGCGCGTACGATATTCTGTGCAAACAGTTGTCACAAGCTGTGTCTTAAGGCTAGTGCTATCTTTAGCAGCGGCATCCGCCTTTTGCATTCGCCTGGACGATGGGTTTGGAGGCCTGCAACCAATCGATGCATAAAGAAAGACTGCTCGGTGACACAAGACCTGGTCACTTCCTTGGACCGCTGATTTCACGTGCGCGTAAGCTCGGCCCAGCAGTCGAAAAGGATATGAGTACGCGGAGCCGCTGGCCAAAGTACCCGCTGCTTCAATAAACAGAGACTTTTGTTAACAAACGCTCACTAAAAGAAATTAACGTCCGCTTCGTTCGCGGCCATTGAGTCAATCAAATGCATTCCAAAGATTCATTTTAATGAAATCGCTGTTTATTTGGAATGAATGGAA